TTTAAAAATTACAAGAAGAGGAGTTAATTTAAGAAGAAAACAAATGTTTCAAAAGTAATGGAAGACAGCAGTCAGTAAACGCAAAAAAATATTTAAAAAATGATAGGAGCTAAAAATTCAAAAAAATTAGAAGGCATTTTTAAAATTATTCAACTACAAAATTACTAAGAAAGCTATGATAGAATTATCACTTGCAATTTTCATATGTGGAATTATACATGTATATGTATGAATATGTGTCTGTATATGTATACATTCATATGTATGAATATGTGTCTACATATGTATACATTCATATGTATGAATATGTGTCCTAATATGTATACATTCATATGTATGAATATGTGTCTACATATGTATACACTCATATGTATGAATATGTATAAACATATGTCTATACATGTATACATTCATACATATGAATATGCATTTACACATATGTATATACCTTCATATGAACCTATATTTCCACGTAAATATATATAAATATATATAAATATATGTCTACGCATGTATACATTCATACATATGAATATGCATTTACACATATGTATATACCTTCATATGAACCTATATTTCCACGCAAATATATATAAATATATATAAATATATGTCTACACATGTATACATTCATACATATGAATATGCATCTACACATATGTATATACCTTCATATGAACCTATATTTCCACATAAATATATATAAATATATGTCTACACATGTATGCATTCATACATATGAATATGCATTTACACATATGTATAAACCTTCATATGAACCTATATTTCCACGTAACAAAAATTTCTCAGAAGAAGTAACAGTGACTACACATCCCGCGTCACGATTAAAAATCTATCAATCCCCGATAGCGTATCGTTTATCGAACATTCGCTATAATCATTCCCAGTAGCATTTTATGATTTACTTAGCTCTGATGCGTCCGCCATCAGAAGCCTCGTAACAGCTGAGACATAAAAGAATTAATTAGCACGGTGCACACGTTCGCTTCTTCCCGTTTAAGGAGGTCGAATGGAATGTAACAGTCTGCTTACTTAATACACTATTCGCTTCCGTCATGTTTGTATGCCGGCGACGAAATCGTTTTTTGCATCGCTATTTGTACAAACGGTTATTCGTCGCGTCACATGATGCTGCAGGTTGATAATATTTACATTCTGGGTATTTATATACATTGTATTGCGTGCTGTGGTGACGCGATGCTGGGAGTATGCGATGTTTTGATGGTTGGTTTTTGTTTTCGGGAGGTGGGGATTTGGGGAGTTTGGAGAATTTGGGGATTTGGGGAGTTTAGGGAATTTGGGGAGCTCAAGGTTTAGGGATTTGGGGAATTTGAGGAATTTGGGAAGTTCAAGGTTTAGGAATTTGGGGAATTTGAGGAATTTGGAGTGTTCAAGGTTTCGGGATTTGGAGATATGGGGTCTTTGGGATTTGGGGAATTGGAGATATGTGGGATTTGAGGATTTGGGGATTTGGGGAATTTGGGAAGTTTAGGGAATTTGGAGAATTTGGGGAGTTCAAGGTTTAGGGATTTGGGGAATTTGAGGAGTTCAAGGTTTGGGGATTTGGGGAATTTGAAGAATTTGGGGAGTTCAAGGTTTGGGGATTTGGAGATATGGGGTCTTTGGGATTTGGGGAATTGGAGATATGTGGGATTTGAGGATTTGGGGATTTGAGGGATTTGGGGATTTGGAGATATGTGGAAGTTGAGAGATTTAGGGATTTGAGAATCGGGAGATTTAGGATTTGGGGATTTTGGGAGTTTTGGGATTTGGAGATATGTGGAATTTCAAGATTTGGGGATTTGAGAATGTGAGGATTTCAAGATATGTGAAACTCGAGGAATTTAGGGATTTGGGAATATGAGGATTTGGAGATATGTGGAGCCTGAGGAATTTGGAGATGTGAGAATTTAGGTATTTTTGAATGTGGGGATTTGAGAATCTGGGGACTTGAAGATTTGTGGATTTGGAGATATGTGGAACTTGAGAAATTTGGGGATTTGGGGATATGAAGGTTTGGTGATATGTGGAATTTGAGGAATTTGTGGATTTAGAGATATGTGGAACTTGAGGAATTTAGGAATTTGGTGATATAAATATTTGAAGATATGTGGAACTTGGTGAATGTGGGTATTTGGACATATGTAGAATTTAGGAATGTGTGGATTTGAGGACTTCTGGATTTGGAGGTATACGAAACTTGAGGAATTTGAAGATTTGATGTCTTGAGAATTTGTGGATTTGAAGATTTAAGAATTGAGAGTTTGGAGATTTGTGAAACTTTGAAATTTATGAAATAAAAAATTAAAAAATTTGTTCATTTAAGAACCTGGAAATTGGATATGGAAATTTGAGATTATCAGAATATGACGGTTCAAGTACTTGATTTGGAATTTAACAACTTTAGTATTCCAGAATTTGGAAATTTGTGGATGTACACCCTAAAATCCCAATAAAAATTGCCCTAAAAATTCCATACCAATTTCCTAAACCCACCAACCGCCACTTTACAAGAACCCACAATCACCATTTTCCATATCCACACATTTACCTTTTACATACCGACGTCCAACAATCAACCGCATCATCAAACCACCTAAAAAATGACCATCAAAATAAATCACCCAATCACATAAATTCGCTGCAGGTGTCTAAAATTCTCCACGGCTGATCGCAATTAAATCTCTATAAATCACGTATCACCATCGACCTTGAGCCCCGTTCACCTAATCCCAGTAACTCCAAGGAGCAATTCCATCGCAGATGTTCCGGGAGCAAGCCGGTTAGTCTCGTTTTATTAATAGCATAAACCTCTCACAATGCAGACGGTTCATCGTTTCGAGCAAAGTGCAACGAGCGTTTGTTTCGCATCGAACCACAACAATTTTAGTTCTTTAAATTCGCCTAATTGAAACACGTGTACTGTAGTGTCCACATTGCGACAAATAGAGCGACGTGTGAACGCGACATACGAATTCTCTTGGAAAAAGATAAGACAATTGCGGGTCTTGGAAAAAGAGATAACGACGAGTAAACGCGTGACACTGCTGTTTGCTATAGTTCCGATTCTTGTATGGGTCTTTTTTGCTTGGGTAATTACTGTGAGTCATTAGTTGCTGCCGATTTAGCTTATGCATTCAGATGATTATTACTGGAAGTATGAGTGAATGGAAAAATGTGTAGATTTAGTTTTGAGTGTGTTGAATTTTTGAAGGATGATTGAAAAATGATGAAAATTGGTTGATGAAGAAGCAGGATGAAAAATTATCACGTGTTAGATTTATCAAGAGTTAGATTTATCACGTGTTAGATTTATCAAGGGTTAGATTTACCACAAGTTTGATTTATCACGCGTTGGATTTATCAAGGGTTAGATTTGCTAAAGGTTAGATTTACCAAGGGCTGGATTTACCAAGGGTTAAATTTACCACGCGCTAGATTTACCAAGGGTTAGATTTACCACAAGTTAGATTAAATCAAGGGTTCGATTTACCACGCGTTAGATTTACCAAGGATTAGATTTACCACAAGCTAGATTTGCCACAAGTTAGATTTACCACAAGTTAGATTTACCACAAGTTAGATTTATCAAGAGTTAGATTTACCAAGGATTAGATTTATCACGCGTTAGATTTACCAAGGATTTGATTTATCACGCGTTAGATTTACCACGCGTTAGATTTACCAAGGATTAGATTTACCACAGGTTGGATTTACTACGCGTTAGATTTAGCAAGGGTTAGTTTTACCACGCGTTAGCTTTACCACAAGTTAGATTTATCATGTGTTAGATTTACCAAGGATTAGATTTATCACGCGTTAGATTTATCAAGGGTTAGATTTATCACGCGTCAGATTTACCAAGAGTTAGATTTACCACGAGTTAGATTTATCACGCGTTAGATTTACCAAGAGTTAGGGTTATCATGCGTTAGATTTACCACAAGTTAGATTTACCAAGAGTTAGAGTTATCACGCGTTAGATTTACCAAGGGTTCGATTTATCACGCGTCAGATTTGCCATAAGTTTGATTTACCACGCGCTAAATTTGTCACAAGTTAAATTTACCACGCATTAAGTTTGCTACAAGTTAGATTTACCACGCGTTGTATTTACCACGTTTTAGATCATCACATGATGAATTTACCACGCGTTAGGTTTACTACAAGTTATATTTACCACGCGTTACATTTACTACGCGTTGGATTTATCATGCGTTAAATCAGCACGTGATGAATTTGCTATGACTCAGATCATTACATATTATATTTACTGTGCTACTTTGGTTATTTAGTAATTCGGAAGTTTGATCCTTTGGAAAACAGGAAATTTGCATAATAGGTGATTTGGAAATTTGGTATTTTGGAAAATAGATAATTTGGACATAGGTGATTTGGAAATATGATACTTTGTAAAATAACTAATTTTGACAATAGATATCTTGGAAATTTAGTAACTTTACAATTAGATAATTTGGAAATTCAATAACTTTCTAAAGAAGTAATTTGCAAATGAACCAATTTGACAATTAGACAATTTAGAAAATAGACTTCATAATTTAAAAATTACGCAGTAGTACAATAATTTGAAAATTTACAACTTCAAAATTTGAGACCAACTTGTTAATTTGACAATTGATTCAATTTGACATCAAATTCAAATTTGATTCTCAGAATGCCTCGATAACTCCAATAAATTTCAAAATCAGACCCAGAAATGAAAACTTAACTCAAAGATTAAAAAATTGAAAAATCCACAAGCGAGCTCCACTCGAATAACCTTCAGTCCATCAAATTTCGAACGAGCACCTGCGCCATGCCGAAGCAATTAGCTCAATTACCTCAGCCTCTTACCAGGAAGTGCACTCCTCATTCATCGTCAAACATCAGCGTTAAACGATCGGTCAATTTCAGTTAGTAACACAAACAGCGGGTTAATTTCACGTTAAATATCATCTTCGATCCGTGTTCCTCTCTACCTTGTCTCGTGCTCCGATTTCTGCTCTTCATTCTCCTTCTCCTTCTCCTTCTCCTCGACGATCTTGTGATAGAAATCTTTCCACATCGCCTCCTCGTCCATTTTGTCAAGATTTCACGCCCAGGTAGAATCTCAGAACATCGTTCACTGAAACCTGTCTCGAAACGTCACTTTTCTACCGTTCAGAACCAGCACTGCCAGAAATTCCAGAGAAATGTTGACGTTAACGCCGGTAGGTCAGCTTGAATCAACTGACACTAGTCGCGATGGTATACCTAAACGTCGAGCTTCGTCTCCAGTCGCTAGATGGCGCTCTGTGACGGACTCTGCCTTTCGAATATTTTGTATTAAATTACACTTTTGAAAATCTTCATGGATTTTTCTTAAAATTTGGATATAAGTTTGTTATCACATTAAAACATTCTATACAAAGTTTGAGAAGTATAGGATGAAGCGTTTGGAAGTTATGAAGGAGTGAAGTTTGGAGAGTTTTATAAAATGGTGGATTCTTGGTCCTCGGTTTTTATGTTCTTTGTTTTAGGATGTATAAGTTTGTTATCACATTAAAATATTTTTTGTAAAGTTTGAGAAGTATAGGATGAATGGTTTGGAAGTTATTGATGAGTGAAATTAGGATAGTTTTATAAAATGGTGGATTCTTGGTCCTCGGTTTTTAAGTTCTTTTTAGGATGTATAAATTTGTTATCACATTCAAATATTTTTTGTAAAGTTTGAGAGGTATAGGATGAATGGTTTGGAAGTTATTGATGAGTGAAGTTTGGAGAGTTTTATAAAATGGTGGATCCTTGGACCTCGGTTTTTAAGTTCTTTTTAGGATGTTTTAGATTATGGTTGAAGGAATATAATTTTTTTTAGAAGTATTATACTTAGAATTTATGTGGAGGATTTTAGTTAATTCTACCTCAAAATATTAGTTGTAGAAATTTATTTATTTAAAGAAACCTTGATGAACTTTAACCTTTATGAAACCTTTAAGAAACCTTCGTGAAATCTTCAAGAAACCTTTATGAAATTTTCATGGAACCTACATGAAGTCTTTGTAAAATATAATCACTGTGAAATTTGTATAATTTGTAATAATTTATTGTACAGTGTAAAACTCTTCAAGCAACCTTAATGAAATTTTCATGAAACCTTCATGAAGTCTTTATAAAATATAATCACTGTGAAATTTGTATAATTTGTAATAATTTATTGTACAGTGTAAAACTCTTCAAGAAACCTTAATAAAATTTTCGTGAAACCTTCATGAAGTCTTTGTAAAATATAAACACTGTGAAATTTTTATAATTTGTAATAATTTGTTGTACAGTAAAAAACTGTATAAACTAAATAAGAACCTTGTACACTATAAAACTAATAACTACATTAATGAATTATATTAATGTAGCAATTTTTCTAAAATGCAACAAAGGTGACTAGAAATAATTTACAGCAGTACAGCATAAAATTAATTGAAGTGTTAATGAATAATTGAAATTTATTCGTGCTATCTACGGTATCAGCAATGGCGCCATGCTTCTCGAATAGCATCAGTGAGTCAACGAGATCAATCATCACGATGACATCAGCTTTGTCACAGGTGCATTAAAGAAACGCCACTTGCCAAAGGCATTATCTGAACATCTTGGATGATTTTAGCGAAGTGTCACTGACACTTTGACGCATATCTTTTGTTTCTGTAACTTGATGTTAAATACCAATTAAATACCCCTTTGTTAAATACCAATTAAATACTCCTTTATTAAATATCAGTTGTTTCACATCTTGTACTGAATTTGTATCTTCAAAACAATGTTTATTTACTGAGAGAGAACCATTTGATAACGTCGGGAATTTAATGTGATTTGTATCTGAAGACCAATTATTTTCAATTGTTAGCAATTTTGTCGGATAAATTATAGAAATTAAATGTTACGTTAGAGGAAATAAATAAAATTGCAAAGTATTCTATTTTTGTATTTTTCTCCTTTATTTCCTTGAAGATTTATTTTCAAGCATTTTCAATATTTCATTCTTTAAATACGTAGAATTTTATGTACTCTATGTGTTTTATGTGTTCTAATCTGAAACGAAGCTACAGCAATATTTCACACTTATCTGAAACCTCCATTTTACCATAACCCAAGAATTATATAAAACAGAAACAGTCTTCTAATCGTTGAAGTCTTCACCATGCTTCTCAAACTGATATTCTTCACAATTTTTCTTCGTAAGTACAATTGACAATCTTCCTCAATGTTCATTTATCAATTTTTCTAAAATATTGTATTTATTAATTTTTCTAAAATATTGTATCTATTAATTATTCTAAAATATTGTATCTATTAATTATTCTAAAATATTGTATCTACTAATTTTTCTAAAATATTGTATCTATCAATTTTTCTAAAATATTGTATCTATCAATTTTTCTAAAATATTGTATCTATCAACTTTTCTAAAATATCATACAGATGCCATCCACAACTCCGCTTCCGAGCATCATAGATCGCCCACAAAGCTACAAGAAAATAAGCAAATAGACTATGACTTCACTCTGGTCGGCCATCAAAGACTACATCAACTGGAGAAAGCTCTCCAGCGATTTTTGTCCAAACTGACGAATTCCATGAACGAAACAATTACATTGCGAGCAAGCTCGAGGGACTCGAAAGATGTGCAAGTATCCATACGCAGAATGTGCGACTCCGTAAGAGGAGCTCTTGCAAAATTTGCAGAGGACTGTAGACTGATGAATACTGTACGATCGTATAAGCAGAACACGAACAATGATCCACTGTCTGATGACTGGTTCTCTGAAAGTGTGCTACAAGGAGCTTACATATTCCGAGATGTTGCGAACGTGGTTAACGAAGTTGGAGTACAGATTCGGTCGCAATTTCGAGATGCGAATGCAACGAAGGTGGGTTCTGAAGTTTTAGAATTTGGAGATTTTTGTTTAGGATTTGAAAAGGTGGAAAGTTGGGAAGTGGAGAGATAGGGAGTTTAGAGAAAATGAGGATAGAGATTTGGGGAGGTGGGAATTTAGGGGACAGAATTTTGGGGATGTGAGATGTTGAGGATATGTCGATATGTGAGGATTTGGGAATATGGAAATTTAGGGTTGGGAAAATCGTAGAAGGTTAGAATTTGAGGAGGTGGAAATTTAGGGGATGGAATTTTGGGGATGTGGGAGATTTCATTATTTGGGGATTTGAGATTTTGAGGATAGGTGGATATGTGGAGATGTGAGATTTGAGTATGTGGAAATTTAGGGGTGGGAAGGTCTGAGAAGGTTAGAGTTCGGGGATGTGGAGATCTGGGAAGGTTGGAATTTGGGAATGTGGAGATCCGGAAAGATTGGAATTCAGAGGTGTGAGAATTTGGGGACGTGAGGACTTGGGAATATGAGGATTTGGGAATGTGCAGATTTGGGAAGGTTGGAATTTGGGGATGCGGAGACCTGGGAAGGTTGGAATTTGGAAATGTGGAGATCTGGGAAGATTGGAATTCAGAGGTGTGAAGATTTGGGGACGTGAGGAGTTGGGAATATGAGGATTTGGGAATGTGGAGATTTGGGAATGTGGAGATTTGGGAAGGTTGGAATTGGGGGATGTGGAGATCTGGGAAGATTGAAATTTAGGGATGTGAGAATTTGGGGATGTGGAGATCTGGCAAGATTGGAATTTAGAGATGTGAGGATTTGGAGGTGTGAGAAGTTGGGAATATGGGGATTTGGAGATGTAAAGAACTGGGAAGGCTGGAATTGGGGGATGTGGAGATCTGGGAAGATTGAAATTTAGGGATGCGAGGATTTGGGGATATAGAGATCTGGGAAGATTGGAATTTAGAGATGTGAAAATTTGGAAATATGGGATTTGGAGATGTGAGGAGTTGGGAATATGGGGATTTGGAGATGTAAAGAACTGGGAAGGCTGGAATTGGGGGATGTGGAGATCTGGGAAGATTGAAATTTAGGGATGCGAGAATTTGGGGATGCGGAAATCTAGGAATATTAGAATCTAGAGATGTGAGGAATTGGGAATATGGGGATTTGAAGATGTGAAGACCTGGGAAGATTATAACTTAGGCATATGGAAATTCTTGAACGTAAGAATTTAGAATTATAGGGTCTGCAGACATAGACGTTTGAGAATATGAAACTTTAGAGCCATAAATTTAATTAATAAATAAAGTACGCTTTAGGTAACCTTGCTTCACCCAAATTCTTTCAGCACCCAAACCAGCCCGAAAGCCACCAATTCCTAGGCGTAATACACAACGCAGCAGACTTCACCGAGACCCTATCTCAATGTCTCCAGTCCACCACCAAATCTCGCAAATCCCCCACAAGTCGCGCAATACTGAACCTCGCCAAAAACCCACCTAAAACCGCAGTCAACATCTTCAGATCGAACCTAATCTCCCGTCGTCCAAAAACATTTGTCAGAAGTAACAACCAGAAATACTGGCACGCGGTTCTTTGTCTGTCCATAATGAACAACGAAGGAAGTTACGAAAGCTGCATGAATGATTTGCGGAAACTCGATGAGTGTCTGACCGTCTCGAAACAGCGATCGAGCAACAAAAGGAAAAGCGTCGACGCGAATTCGTGGGTGAAGGCGATTGAACGCTTGAGCGACTGCGAGATTCAAGCGGATAAGCTCGGCCAGGTTTCCTGTAAATCGGCTCGAGGAAAGTCGAGGAGGATCAAGCAGAAGGTGAGATACATGTTCGAGAGGATATTGGATAGGAAAATAAGAAAGGAATCGGCTTTACATCGAGCTGCCACGGATTTGGGTGATGTTTTGTCGGCTAGTGAATGGGGACGGAAACTTGTTGACGAACTTTTGACGTATTTTGGGATTTTTGATGATGGACAGAGAAAGGTGCGGTTGGTGAAAGACGTTGGAACTCCGAGGTTCGTATTTGAAGTTGAAATTGAAATTCGTGGATGTCAAGTTTTTATTTGAAGGAAAATGAAGCTTTTTGTAGTGGAAGGACTTTTCAGAGATTTTTGCAATTTTATATAGCACTTTTTATTTGTCACTGAATTCAAGGTTTGGATAGTAAAATAAATTTGTAGATGATAAAATGTGGAAGTAGATGGTAAAATAAATTCATAGAAAGATGTTCTGAGTGTTAGATTCATACATGTGTAACATGTGTAACATGTTACATATGTAAACATGTTGTATGTTACATATGTGAATGTATCACATGTTACATATGTGAAGATGTTGAATAATATGTAGTTTGCATTTGTGAATATGTCACATGCTACATACGTGAACATGGTATATATTACATATATGAATAAGTCACATGTTACACGTGTGAAGATGTTATATCTTATATATGTGAATATGTCATATGCTACATATGTGAAGATGTTATATATTACATATATGAACAAGTCACATGTTACACGTGTGAAGATGTTATATGTCACATGTATGAATATGTCATATGTTACATATGTGAAGATGTCATATGTTACATATGTGAAGATGTTATATGTTGCATATGTGAACATATTATATGTTACATATGTGAAAATGTTATATGTTACATATGTGAACATATTATATGTTACATATGTAAATATGTCACATGTTACATATGTGAAGATATTATATATTGCATATGTGAACATATTATATGTTACATATGTAAATATGTCACATGTTACATATGTGACCACATTATATGTTACCTATATATTACACATATGAACATATTACACATTACAAATTTGAAATTTTCAAAATTCCCTACAAAAGATATAACTCACGTCTACATTTTTCATCAGATACAAAGAGCTGTCAGAAGCGCTGCAAACATACAGAAAAGGCATACTAATGAGAACATTCAACACGATCACTAAACTGCACCGATCGATCGCGAATTTCGAACAGTTCCTCATACACGGGATCAAAGATACACTGAACGAGGCTTGGCAGAGTCATTTGAAGGTTTTATCAAGCCTGATGGAGTGGATGACGAAGCTACTGGAGTTGTATAGCGGCGCCATAAGTGAAAATGGAGAGATCTCTTCAGGCACATTAACTGATAATCAGATGAATGAAAATGAAAGTTCGAACTCTGATGATTCGGAACAGTCTATGGCTCGTTCTAAACCTGGTTGGTAGAATTACTGATATCAATCCACGAGTTGACGCGTGAGAGTAATGATAATAACAACTACTGAATTGGCACTATATTTTAAGATATTTGATTGTCATAACTCAGAATATTTATAAACATTTTCTTGCAGAAATTATGGAAGAAGCAGACGCCTCCATGAAGAGTTTAATAGAATCCATGAATCGTGTGAGCAGATATCGAAGCACGAACGACAGCATGTTGTCCTGTCTCGCGAATAATCTTCTTCTGGTTACAATGTTCATGGAGACGATTGGTTTTGTCTCCACGTTGTATTGCTTCGATTATAGCATGAAAGAGGAAGATACTAATTCAAGGAAGGGGAATCGACCACGCAGATTTGTACCTTTCGATTATAACGAAGTTGGTCTTGTTTCACAGGATTTGATGCTTTTGGAGTCTCGTGGCAATCATACTTCTTTAATTGTTTATTAGAATAATAAAAATTATAATCCTTGAAAATGTAGAAAATGTATGTAGTATACTAGATATGTGTAGTGTAGTGTACAAGATTTACTAATATTATAATTGTATGGAATTATTAATTGTATAGTGCACAGTTGAGAATTGAATTAAAATAAAATTCAAGAAAAATGCACAAATGTCAATAAATAAAATATGTAAGCAATGTGTGTGAAATAAATTTATATGTACATGATATATGTAAATAAATAAATGTATATACAAATAATGTGTACTCAATGTTTATCATGTGCCCAACACTACAACCTAACCTCACCTAACCAGCAAATAAAATTTTAACTGTGTCTAAAGGCCACAACACTGCAACCTAAAATAACCAGCAAATAAAATTATAACTGCATCTGAAACCCTCAACACTGCAACCTAACCTAACCTAGCCAGCAAATAAAATAGTAAATGTGTCTAAGACTTCCAACACTGCAACCTAACCTAACTGAACTAGCAAATAAAATTGTAACTCTGTCTAAAACCCTCAACACTAAAATTTAACCTAACTGAACTTGTAAATAAAATTGTAACTGTGTCTAAAACCCTCAACACAACAACCTAACCTAACCGAACTAGCAAATAAAATTGTAACTCTGCCTAAAACCCTCAACACAACAACCTAACCTAACTGAACCAGAAAATAAAATTATGACTGCGTCTAAAACCCTCAACACAACAACTTAACCTAACTGAACCAGAAAATAAAATTGTGACTGCGTCTAAAACCCTCAACACTACAATCTAACCTAACTGAACCAGTAAATAAAATTGTAACTCTGTGTAAAACCCTCAACACTGCAACTTAACCTAACCTAATCAGCAAATAGAATAGTAACCGTGTCTAAAACCCTCAACACTGCAACCTAACCTAACCTAATCAGCAAACAAAATAGTAACCGTGTCTAAAACCCTCAACACTACAACCTAACCTAACCTAATAAGTAAATAAAATAGTAACCGTGTCTAAAACCCTAAACACTGCAACCTAACCTAACCTAATCAACAAATAAAATAGTAACCGCGTCCTAAACCCTCAACAACCTAACATTTCCATCGAATATTATTTTCCTATTCTATCTACATTATTTAAATAATGAGTCAAATAAACAGCAATCGATATTCGCAGAAACAGACAAGAAGACTAATTACATTAATCAGTGAACAAATCTGTTTAAGCTAGTAATAAAGTTTCGTTATAAATCAATGACGTTACATAATTTATCCTTCGCGTGTTTCGCCTTATCCGCGTTACCCTGGCAGATAGCAATAGCAATAATTCCGGCGATGCGTTTGTAGAACACACTACAACGTGACATTTATAGCTTTCAAAGATGCAGAGCGTCCTCCTACAGATTTATTAAACATATTTCTGTGAGCGGCTGCTCGAAATGCACGCGTCACCGGTCGTCTTTTGTTTAATATGTAAGTCACATATATTTCTTTTTTATTTATACGTTCATCGAACACGTTCATTGTCAAATTACGGTAGATTTATGTTCATTGAAGTATCAAGATTTATTTTCGAATTACGTGGATTTATGCTTGTTGGATTACGGAGATTTATGTTTATCTTTTGAATGCAATTATGGTAATTCTTTATATGGAATTATGCTAATTTTTTACATGGATTTTTGTTAGTTTTTTATACACAGTTTAATTTTTTTTTTAGACAGAATTTATTTTTATTTTTATTTAGACAGAAGTACATTTTTTTAGACAGAATTTATTTTTATTTTTATTTAGACAGAAGTAAATATTTTTAAACAGAATTTATTTGTATTTTTATTTAGACAGAAGTAAATTTTCTTAGGCAGAATTTATTTCTATTTTTATTTACATTTATTTATATTTATTTTTAGTTAGACAAAATTTTTTTTAGGCAGAATTATGTTAGCTTCTTACACAAACTTATGTTAATCCCTCACAAAAATTTACAATAATTTTTCACACATCATGATAATCTTTCATACAGATTCACACTTATCTTTCACATAGATTTAATCATCGTAAGAAACGTACAAGATGCAAATTGTAAAGTGGAGACAAAAATCATCGGTGGAGTGCCTGTGGACATAAAAAGTCGTCCATTTATGGTACAATTTTAATAAATCACTAAATACATCCTACATTTTATACAACATATGTCCTAATTATTAATTTTAGCTATCCCTTCACAATTCTGAAGGATTCATATGTGGTGCCAGTATTCTATCAAGCAACTGGGGTATCACTGCTCTCCACTGTTTGTAAGCTACATTTTTCAACAAAATAATTTAGATGTCATCGTAATAATTATTTAATTATTTCCACAAGAATCGCTATTCCTAAATATTTGTGATTATACAGAGTTTCAGGGAGGACGTCGAATTATTTTGTACGAGCAGGCTCGAACAACCCTTACGCCGGAGGCTCCTTGCATAGGTTAAGAAAAATATACGCGTACAATGATACAAGACTTCCATATCTGTTGTCAGGCATGTTGTATCATGACGTAGCTCTTTTTCAAGTAAAACCTCGATTTCAATTTTCAAGTACTGTTAAAGCAATTCGACTTCCTGGGGAATTTAGTACGCCACCTAGAAAATTGCATGTTTGCGGCTGGGGTTACACCTCCATTCACGATAATGTAAGTTCTTTTTTAAATCTCTTCTGAATTTCAACAGTATTACTTTACCAATTTTTCATTTGGTTCAAAAGTTTTATTGTCAATTTTAGTTTGAAACTACGAAAATTTGCAAAATTAACTTGAGTGAAATATTAAGGAAATTTAATAAGTATATTTTATTGCAAAGTTTTATTACAATGTTGTTTTTAAGAAATATTGTTTTTAGTCTTGAAATAAATTCGACAAAATTTTTTCTGGTTATTACAAATATTATTATTAGAATTTTATTTTTGTGAAATATTGTTTTTAGTGTAACAATAAATTAGAACAATTTTTTCTAGCTATTGCAAATGTTATTATTACAATTGTATTTTTAAGAAATATTTTCTTCTGTCTAAAAATAAATTAGAACAATTTTTCCAGCCAAAAGTCAGCAACGTCCTAATGGGCGTCTACGTGCGTCACACCCCCCACGAAATTTGCATCAATGAGACTCCAGAATACAAAATACTAGTTAAAAAAGAATACCATCTTTGTTACGGAACATTAGGAAAAGATTCTTGCTATGGCGATTCAGGAGGACCATTGGCAAGTAAGAACACCATTTATGGTGTTGTGTCTTTTGGCCATAACTGTGCTGTAGTGTCAGGAGTGTACGAGAACGTTTCCTATTATCGACGGTGGATCAAACAGATCACAAATTTGTAATTTCGAATAAATCAATTAATCAATACACTTCAAACCACTTTTAAAAAAAATCATCTAACAACTGCAATAAAATTATACTTTTCAATTTTTTTTATTAACTAACCATGTTAAGATTAAATCCTTCCTTGACAATTTACACAATTTATTAATTAACTCTTTTTTGAAAATTGTATAAATCATTTTATTGAACATAATCAAATCAGAAATCTAATTCAAATTCAATCAATAGTTCGTTCATATGAATGTTAGAAGTACAAGTGTCAGAAATTAAAAAATAAATGTCAGAAACTAAAAAATAAATGTCAGAAGTTCGCACAAAATCAAATTCGATCAAAATGTTCTTCAAAGATCAACATTTGATTAATCCTCTTTCCCGAATCAATGATTCATCTAATCAAACACTAAAACACAAAATGAAAGTAAATATACAAATAAAGTCGGGAAATCATCCCACAGGATGCTGTTTCCTGCTCACAGGAGAAATAGTTTCCAGGAAAAAAGAAATAGTTGTGCCGAATAGCAGAGTATGTGGACCCCAGTTGGTTCAGGTTCGATGCACGCCGGAAGTCCATTACGCACGTTCTGCGCAAGATCCTGTCGCGCACATACTCGGCTCAGCTCGCGTACCGTGTACTTAGGGCTGAGTAAAGTTCGAACGGGGCATTTTAGTAATACATAATTAGGAAACTATTGTGTACGAGGTTTTATATTATCGTCACGCATACCCATTCACGCGGGAATGTCTTTTTATTAACTTGTTTTTACCTCGTATATATTTTTCATTTTTATAGATATTTGTGGTTTTCAAGGTTTTAGGTATTTACTTGAAATTATTAATTTTGGGGGTGTGTCATTTTTGTCATTTTCACGTATTTTATATTTACATGTTTGGTAATTAAAATGTATAAATTCTTTCTAATTTTTTCTATTAATAGTAAAATAGTAATATTCTTTCTAATTTTTTCTATTAATAGTAAAATAGTAATATTCTTTCTAATTTTTTCTATTAATAGTAAAATAGTAATATTCTTTCTAATTTTTTCTATTAATAGTAAAATAGTAATATTCTTTCTAATTTTTTCTATTAATAGTAAAATAGTAATATTCTTTCTAATTTTTTCTATTAATAGTAAAATAGTAATATTCTTTCTAATTTTTTCTATTAATAGTAAAATAGTAATATTCTTTCTAATTTTTTCTATTAATAGTAAAATAGTAATATTCTTTCTAATTTTTTCTATTAATAGTAAAATAGTAATATTCTTTCTAATTTTTTCTATTAATAGTAAAATAGTAATATTCTTTCTAATTTTTTCTATTAATAGTAAAATAGTAATATTCTTTCTAATTTTTTCTATTAATAGTAAAATAGTAATATTCTTTCTAATTTTTTCTATTAATAGTAAAATAGTAATATTCTTTCTAATTTTTTCTATTAATAGTAAAATAGTAATATTCTTTCTAATTTTTTCTATTAATAGTAAAATAGTAATATTCTTTCTAATTTTTTCTATTAATAGTAAAATAGTAATATTCTTTCTAATTTTTTCTATTAATAGTAAAATAGTAATATTCTTTCTAATTTTTTCTATTAATAGTAAAATAGTAATATTCTTTCTAATTTTTTCTATTAATAGTAAAATAGTAATATTCTTTCTAATTTTTTCTATTAATAGTAAAATAGTAATATTCTTTCTAATTTTTTCTATTAATAGTAAAATAGTAATATTCTTTCTAATTTTTTCTATTAATAGTAAAATAGTAATATTCTTTCTAATTTTTTCTATTAATAGTAAAATAGTAATATTCTTTCTAATTTTTTCTATTAATAGTAAAATAGTAATATTCTTTCTAATTTTTTCTATTAATAGTAAAATAGTAATATTCTTTCTAATTTTTTCTATTAATAGTAAAATAGTAATATTCTTTCTAATTTTTTCTATTAATAGTAAAATAGTAATATTCTTTCTAATTTTTTCTATTAATAGTAAAATAGTAATATTCTTTCTAATTTTTTCTATTAATAGTAAAATAGTAATATTCTTTCTAATTTTTTCTATTAATAGTAAAATAGTAATATTCTTTCTAATTTTTTCTATTAATAGTAAAATAGTAATATTCTTTCTAATTTTTTCTATTAATAGTAAAATAGTAATATTCTTTCTAATTTTTTCTATTAATAGTAAAATAGTAAAATTCTTTCTAATTTTTTCTATTAATAGTAAAATAGTAAAAATTCTTTTTATTAATAGTAAAATTCCTAAATTCCTGAATTTCAGTTTTAAATCCTTTAAATTCCTCGATATATAAATCTCAAAAATTTCAAACTTCCTAAATTCTCACACTATTAAATTCTTAAATTCCACAATTCTCACCCTTCAATATCCCTATTTCTCCAAACTCTCAAACTTCAAAATTCTCAACTACCCAAATCCCTAAATTCCTAAACTCTCCAACCCCTTAATTCCAAAATGCTTTAATTTCCATTCCCATAAATCCCTAAATTCTCAAACTCTACAACCCCTAAATTGTAAAATGCCTTAATTCTCATCCCCTTAAATCCCTAAATTCTCAAACTCACCAACCCCTTAATTCTAAAATGCCTTAATTCTCATCCCCCTAAATCTCTAAATTCTACAATTCTTTCCCTTCAATATCCCTATTTCCCCAAACTCTCAAACTTCAAAATTCTCAACTATCCAAATCCTTAAATTCTCAAACTCTCCAACCCCTAAATTCTAAAATTCCCAAATTCTCACCCCCTAAATCTCTAAATTCCCCAATTTTCTAACCTTGAAATCTCTAATTTCCCAATAGCAAAATCCACTCCACCCTTAAATTTCAATCTTCCTAAATTTTCATCTCTCTAAATTCCCAAATTTTCATCCCTCTAAATTCCCAAATTCTCATCCCCCTAAATGCCCAAATTCTCATCCTCCTAAATCCCCAAATCCACATCCCCCTAAATTCTCAAATTTTCGTCCTCCTAAATCCCCAAACTCTCAAACTTGAAAAAAATTCCCAATTACTCCAATCCCTAAATCCAAAGCGTCAAACCCTCCCTCTCCACATTCCGCCATCTCCACCCTCCAAATTTCTCCATCCCAAATCACACTCCTCCTTAAATCTCCTTAAAATTACAGGAGCGTACAAAGGTTCAGTTACTCCATCTGAAAAGAACCGTACATTCAAAACACACACTCGCTATGTTTCACCTATTATTGTGCGGCGGTGTTCACGCAAGCGTTACGACTGGCTGTCATTTACTCGAATGAGTCACCCGCACAGGTTTCCCTGCATAAACATCGACTTTTTCATTATGTTCCGAGGGTCTTTAAACTCCCTAGCCACGTGCACGCCGTGTCTTCACCGTGAGAAGTGCATTATCTTCGGGCACATCCGTCGATTTATCTGAACACGATAGAGACTCCCTTTCCGCCATTAAACCTAATCGATTTGATAGCACGAGTTTGCGAACCTGATCCAGGTGTTTGGTTCAATAATCAATGCGTTAGGGAATTGTATTGGGGGGGAAAGGTGAATTCTGCAGGTGTTTGTTTCAATAATTAATTCTTTAAACTTTATTATACTTTATACTTTATATAATTTATTATACTTGAAATTATACTTTATTAAAGAGAAGACTTGTGTCAAATTTGTACTGTATAAATTATTTAATAATATTTAAATAATGGTTAATAATTATTTAGTAATAAATATATACTAAATAAATTTGTAATTTACTAAATAATATATGTATACTAAATAAATAAATACTAAATAATAAAGATATTACTAAATAATTATTTAGTAATATTTGCAGCTGAAGTTTAAACCCCTTGTGTTCTCGTGACTCACCTATGACACAGCTACTTCTGTGATTATTTTTTATCAGAACTTTTAATACGTTTTCGTTTGCAGTTCAATTTGCATAGTCAACGATCACATAACACCGAAGTGACATGACATTTCAACTTCCTTTGTTTTAATTGTTGTGATTTGTGTCTGACCTGACTGGGTCAAGTTTTGTAGCTTTATGGTTTGTGTCAAAGTTTATATATTGATGTAACATTGAGTTAACAAAAATTGAATTAAAATAACATTGATATAACATAAAGTAAATTGACATAATATTGATATAACAAAAATTAAATTGTCATAACATGGACATAACATTTACTACTTTTCTTTCAATATTGTAATTGTGATCATTTCTGACTGACGCACCTGACAATGTCGACTTATTATGTTCCTTGCAGAATGACTTATATTAAACTTTATAAATTGATGTGACATTGACATAACAAAAATTAAATTGACATAACACTGACATGACATTTACTTTCTTCGTTTCAATATTGTGATGAGTTCTGACTGATGCACCTGACAAGATGAACCTTTGTCAACTCTCAACTTCTCAACTCTTCAAATTCCTAATTTTGAAATCTGTAAATTCTCTATTCCCAAAATTGTCAAAATTCCAAATTCTCAAATTTCTAATCTGTCAAATTTCCAACTTCTCCAATCTCCAAACACCTAATTTCCCAAATTCCTAAATTCCAAATTTCTCTATTTCCAAAATTGTAAAATCTCCCATTTCTCAAATCTCTAAATTCACAAATCCCCAAATTCTCATATTTCCAACTCCTAAAATACCTAAATTCTTATATTTCCAACTCCTAAAATACCTAAATTCTCAAATCCCAAAACACCATATAACCTACATCCCTAAACTTCCAACCTCCCAAATCCCCAACTTCAAAAATTCCAAAAACTTGTATAAAAATTAAATAATAGTAAGTCTGACATAAATCATACTTCAAAAAGAAAATTTGACCCAACTCCACAAGAACATATTACATTGATGTAATTTATTTTGAATAAAAATAAAACTTGCCTAAAAATTAAATAATACTAAGTTTGACATAAATCATACTTCAAGAAGAATATTTGACCCAACTCCACAAGAATACACCCGAATAAACTTATACAAGTTTGTA